AACATTTCGCAACCCCGCAATGCAGCGACTGTCACTGTTGATTGAAGCTAGTTGAGTTTCTCGTCAAATAATTACATGCGTAAGTCGAAAAACATAATAAATAAGTTTTGATGTTACTTATATGAAGACATAATAGGTGTATGTGGAAGTCATTGGAGGAGGCCTATGTTCTATGATAGCTATTCATGTCGCGGAGAACCTAACGGGTAACCGGGGCTCCGGCTCGACGTGCAGGAGAAGGAACGGGGTGGTTTTTAGTCAGTAAGAGTCTGACAGCCTCACCCAGGAGGGAGCAGTCATTCGATGATTTTCCCCCCTTAAAAAATATATTAAGCTATTCATGAGGTGTAGTTAATGTGAATGTTGATGAAAAATATCATAAGTTGTCGTACAATAAACTGATTAATGAAATACCATAATCAATTTACAGGTACATCATATTTATTTGCATAATATCCAATATCTTTGTTGCGTACCCAATTAACTGAGCGGAACTGGGAAGCCAAACGAAGGCGCCGGACGCGGGTTAATATCTCAGAATACATTATGAGAGTCGGATCAAAGTCCCAATTAGTTGCCTATCCCTAACGTCGGCACTGGTGCACCGCAAAACACGGCTTATCCGAACCATGGTTAGAGATAGCCACGTTTAAGCCCTATCGCCGTAGGAAACATTTCTCGAATATTCTGTAGTCTTACTTTTATAAAAACTTAAATTACTTTTAATATTCTACTATTAAAATTTATATTTAGATGACTGCCTCATTGGCCGAGTAGCAAGTGTGACTGCTGAGCAAGGGGCCTTGGGTTCGATTTCCGGGTCGTGCAAAGTATTACTAGTTTTTTTTAATAATTCTCAGTAGTAGCACCGAGTTTGAAATTATACCCTGTTTAGGGCAATAAGCTCATCCCCTATTAGTTGGTGCATTTGTTTAACTAGAAGAGAATCGAGCTCCTTAATCATTATAATGAGAATAAGAAAACAGAAACTCTCTTAGATTAATATATAGCTTTAACATTTTGTTAATGATATAAAAGCAACAACGACTCGTCGCATCGTCAATAGGCTCACCCCCTATTACATTGCACAGTGATATTAAGTGCCGTAACGTGCATCTCTGCCTACCCCTTTAGGGGTAATGATGCTATTTTATAATTAGGATGAATAGAAAGGACCTTTGCGGACACTATTTACTAGAACCGGGAATAAAATCAATAAAGGATTTAAATCATAGTTTTACCATAAAATAAAAAACAGTTTAATAAAAAATTACAAAAAGACATTAATGAAGTAGTTGGCATTATATAATATTTTGCCATGAAACTTTTAATTGAGAACATGATTTCTCTGAAGAACACAATAATTAAATTAGACTACTTACTCATAGTCGCGGAGAACCTAACGGATTACCGGGGCTCCGGCTCAAAGCGCAGGAAAAGGAACAGGGTAGTTTTTAGTCAGTAAGAGACTGACACTCCCTCCCGCTTCACCCACTCGGGAGCAGTCATTCGATGATTTTCCCCCCTTAAAAAGAAAGACTACTTACTCATGTGTAAACACATACAATTTACAAATATCTTTATAAATATCTGAAGTTAAGTTTTTAAGTGTCATATTTCGTCGTATGAGTGAGGTTACCGGAGGCTCAATCACCCCCTCTCTCCAGTCTCCTCAATCCCCAAATCCTCAACAAACCTCAAATTCTTAATTCCTAAAAGGCCGGTAACGTACTTGTAAAGTCTTGGTGTTTTAGTTGTCCATGGGTGGCACCGATTGCTTACCATCAGGTGATTCGTATGCTCGTTTACCGGCTTATGCCATAAAAAAAATTTAGTTATTCATAAATGAGTGGAGTGCTTTACACATATTTTATGTCGATTTAATCTCACTTACGCCCGAACACTGAAAGGCTACTCAATTTTAAATTGTACTCAAATATCGCGCCATCTTTGTCATTTTACAAAGAAGTTGTAGTGACAGAAATATACTTAAGCGCGACTTAACTCGTCGAGTACCGTCATTATAGACACAATTATAGAACAATAGGTTGCGGTCACCGGTGTCCGCTCGGTGTTTGACAGTTTAAAATCGAGTGACGATTGAGTATTTCAAGCTAAGATACTAATAAACCAACAGTATTTTAACTTTGAATGGCCTCGTCAATTAGGTATAGCTAGCTAAGAAACCCTCAATACATACAAAGTCACGAGGATTAGGCAAGATAAGTATAGTTAATAGTATTTAGTATTTACCGGTATCAATACTTACGTAAGGAGGCGCGAAAATAACAATTAATTCGACAAAGATTAGTTAACACAACATTGAAAACGCAACATGACATGTTTTAACCCCGCAATCGTATTAGGGGGCATAAGCCGACCGGTGCCAACGAAAACAGTGTAGGTAATGGGATACCTCGATTGAGCATCTTGACCTATGTCTGCCTAAGCCGACATTAGCCAATAAGTCGGAGGCGTTACGGACGAACGTTTAGTACTTACAATTACGACTCAAGAGTCATAAGACGTGAGAAGACATTTATACTCCTCGTGTTTTGGCAAAGATATGATGTACCTGCGAAGGACATATTACGACGATTTTATTACGACGTTTAAAAAATCCGACTTCAATATCCTCATTTTAGGAAGAAAACTAAACCCTTCTCCTAATTATAACACATTTCGGCAGTTAATGCCACTGTACAATGTAACACCCACTTTCACTATTTATGTTAGGAGTCGCATATAATAGGGGATGAGCCTATTGCCATAATTATACCGGGCACTTTTCCAGACTCCGTGCTACTACTGAGATTTTTAAAAACCCAATAATAACCCGACTCATGAATCGAACCCGAGATCCCTTGCCCGGCAGTCGCACTAGCGACCACTCGGCCAACGAGGCAGTCTCTGTCTATAATCGCGCACAAACATATTATATACAAATCATACTGAGAACCTTCTTCTTTTGTCGAGGTCGGCTAATAGAAGATGGTTTGTTAATATAACGGTTATGTTTACATAACGTTTACATAGAAATTCAATAATTGATTATTAAATAAATATGAAATCTCATGTCTTGCATGACGGTTTTGCTCATAGAGAAAAAAAGTAAAATAAAAAAAAATCGGCCAGCATTACTGCCAGTGTTGGTTCGCGCACCATGCAGGTTGTATAAGCACGAACATAATACCACACCTTTGAATTCCTCAACCTAAGGAACCTAATGAGTAAGAAGAAATTTGAAGGTAAACCAATAAGGAACAAAAGGCTATTTTATATAGATTTTGTTTCTAATATGAGGCCAAAAGAAAAAAATTAGGCTACATTTTTCTTGTACTCTTTAGTCTATTCCAAATACAACAATCACACCATAATAAAACTCCTGTGAAAAACAAACAAACTCACTTTCACACTTACAACAATAGTAATGATAACGTAAATGAACCCTAATACAGATTTATCTAACTAAAGTGTGTAGGCAGACATGTTTAGAGTAGTTACTTATTGCTATGTTATCAACATTCATGTTTCAAGACCTAACGATGGTATGGTGTGTACTACACTTAATTTATTGAACAAAACTCTTCAGCTACGTAGAGAGCAGATAGGCGTCGATACCGAGGTTAAGTACCCAATATTAATTAGTACAACCGTTTGTTACCCTCTGTTGATACGTAAGGCGGAGTTTTGAACGAAATAATTGGAGTAGGGTTTAGACCTCAACGTGTTTTGTGTAAGCTGTGACACCTGTCAACAAAATGGGACAATTCTACTGTCCTACAAGACCTACTAATTATGAAAAATCGTTCTAAGATTCCGTTTCATAGACATACATACATTACGAAGCAACAATAATCACCAAGATAGTGTTTGACCCTCTACCGTAAAAATTCTGGATATAAAGTTGATACAGGATACAGATAACATCTCCGGTGCGCGTGTCTGTGTGTTTGTATTTTGATAATACTGGCTGGTGGCGGCCAAAATAAGTTTTATACCAAGACCTTATGAATACTACTAGCTAGCTATGAAACCTATATACGATTTCATATAAATACTAATGCCAATAACGCCACTAAAACTGTTTAACTCGTCGAATACCGTCATTATAGACACAATTAAAGAACAATAGGTTGCGGTCACCGGTGACAACAATTCTTATTTAGCACCTAATCGGGCTATCTATCGTATTGTTGTGTTTTGTCCCTTCCGACCCACGTTTTGTAGTAAACGGTGCATATTATTATTTTAATTTATACACAAACTTTTAGTTATGTAATCATTCTATTATCCTTTGTTTTATTTAAAGGAAAAGTTTTGACTAATCTAAAAATACAAGCTTTAGTTCGTTTCGTCCTTGTTCATCCATTCATCTTATGGACGATCTTCAAGCTCAAAGTCATCGATTTAGATTCTGACCAGACAAATTGTTATAAAGATTTCTGTTAAATTCACAAGCAAAGCTATTTGTGGTTGTATAATTTTATATAAAACCTACATCTCTACCCTACCTCCCATATTTGGCCCTGTGTCGTGGATGCGTTTACAGTCATACCCCAATCCGGAACCAAGGTTAAAAAAGCAAAGAAAACTCAATTTGTATAAAAGTAAATGGATCCATAAAATGAATATGTCTAATTTGCGTTCGAGTCACCTTATCAGATTTCGAGGATTCACTATTTTGTAAGCGCCCGCATTGAACCGCCCACTTCTTCCCTAATCTAACTTTACCGAGTCCCAATCTAGAGTCAAAATGTAAAAGGATTCCCACATCTGATAACGAAATGTTTAAACATAATGATTAATGTTATATGGGTTTTAGGAGCTTATTTTATTTTTCTTAGTTTATTTTGATATCGTTGAAGAATGTTACGTCATAAAACCATTACGTCTGTTTATATGATTTGATATTGTCCTAACAATAATTGAACACTGGCATTATCTCTGAAATCCATTATCTCTGCTTGGTAATAATTTGAAATATTTTCTTTTTTCAGGTAATCAAAAGGCAGACTGATATGATTCGAGCATGGAGCGGTTACTTGACGTTCATTCTTGTCTTCGTACAGATTGGAAGCGATTGGCTCAGCTGCAATCACATGACAGAGTGCACATGCAAATGGGCGTCAGGAAAAAAAACAGCTTCCTGTGTTTCAGCAGGTTTGAAGCAACTCCCAAAATTAGCCTCAGACATCCAAGTTCTAAATCTACATGGAAATCCACTAATGACATTAGAAGAAGATGCTTTTACAAACATAGAACTGTTGAACCTTCAACGATTGAACCTCAGCTCAACAAGTTTACAGACTTTACATGCAAATGCATTCCGGGATCTGCGAATATTGATAGAATTAGATCTATCCCAGAACCAACTCCTCAAACTATCACCTAATACATTCAAAGGCGCTGAGCGCTTGCGGGTACTGATCCTTAACGGTAACCCTCTGAGCGTTTTAGTCGCAGAGCAGTTCCCTCCGTTGAAAAGTTTGAGGAAATTAGAAATATCACGAAGTAAGCTTCGTTCAGTACACCCATTTGCATTTGTTAATCTTCAATCACTAGAAACCGTCAATATACACCAAAACTTACTAACATATCTCCACCAAGATACTTTCAATCTACCGCTACTAAAAACTCTTACATTGTCCGATAATCCTTGGTATTGTGATTGTCGGTTAAGGGAATTCCATGATTGGTTTCTCAATAGTAACTTAGGAAACGAAGAAGTCATCTGTGGTGGCCCAGAAAAACTAGAGGAAATGTCATGGAGATTTCTGAAACGAGACGACTTTGTGTGCCCGCCTTATGCAACATCTTCGCCGACAGTCATTAGGACAGAAACAGGAGCTGAAATATCATTCGGTTGCTTTGTTAGAGGTGACCCTAAACCTACCGTGACCTGGTCATTTCATCACATAGAGATAAACAACAGTACGGACAAACAAAGTGATATTATAATCAATAAGTATCAATTAGATCATTTCGATGAGTATAACGACGATTTCTTGAATAAAAGTGCGCAGTGGGTTAACTTGACTATTACGAATGTGACTAGTGACTTGTCAGGAGAGTGGAAATGTAGTGCTAAAAGTCCTGTAGGAGAAGCAAATGCTTATCTAACACTTTTTCTACCTAAAGCCAGGACAGCCACGGCGAGAGTTGCGCCTGATTATTCTGCGTTTTTTTTAATAGGTGGATCATTGCTCGCTATGACAACTGCCGGATTTATAACAACGTGCATTTGTTGGAAAACTAAACGGCGGAGAGTGCCACCAAGTAGAAGCTTTACAGATCAAGAAAAAAAATTACTAGATACATCTCTAGCAGTGAGCTGTGACAGAACAAGTGGAGACCTGGGATCTTCATACGGCTTTGAAATGTTAGATAGATCCATTTCTATGGAGTCTGATGATGCACGGTGTTTGGAACCTGTGCAAATTACAATAGAGGGCCCGCCTGGATCCTTTCCTCCGCCTCCTGCAGAATTTGCTTTGCCTGCTCCATATAGTAATATATTCATTTCTGTCCAAGTATCTGGCCACAATGATGAGTATCCTGATCTCTTAGGAGGAGGTGCAACCTTACCTAGGAGAAGTAGAACATGTTTCTTAAAATCTGCTTATGATAATATGGGTCCGCGAATCACAGCTGCTGGTAGTTCAACCTGGTCTCTTCCAGGTGCTAACGGTGATAAAAATATTGATAAAGATCCATTAAGTGGTCCATTGTCAACTTTTTCTACTGAATTTACAGCTTTGTAAGTTTTGGGTGATTTTATCATATCTGTTACATATTCCATAATTATTCCATATGACATATGATAGTAACAATTTAATTTAACTAATTCTGCCATTACTTTCAACGAATGTAACACCCGTTTATTATAGATCTGAGAAAGATTTTTGACCAAAATCAAAAACAGCATCGAATCACAATTCTTTCAGAAAAAATTGAAAAAAGTTTTAGTCATATATTATATTACCTCTTTTTAATATGTAAATCAGTTTTATAATAATATCACAACCACAATACATATTTATATTCAAAACAATTATATTCAGTTTTCAACTCACAATCTTAACTATTTGCCCTGTATTTTCTATTAGCATAATACTAAATTCTTAAAAGAAACCTAAGTGTGTACATACATACATAACCTCACGCCTGTCACCCATGAGGGTAGGCAGAGACTATGGACTCTGAAGATACCTAAGTTTTGGCCTAGATCCAATTTTTAGTATTTAAAAAGAAGATGATGTCTAACATATCAATTTTATAGCTGTAAATAAGAATAAGTTTGTCATTTTTATTCCAATATTTGCATTGAAATCATGTATATAGTATACGATACAGTATTTATGAAAAAGATTAAAATAAATGTAGATGATAAAAATTTATACTGACTGCATTTTATGACCAATGTTTGTCGTTTGTTAACCAATGATGGTCATTTGTAACCACGAACTTAAACTATATATTGGTTCATGTCTGAAGTGAATGATGATGATATTTATCCCAACACTATTTAACGCAGACCTTGTAAAAGGAAGAATACATTTTAATTATTATATCTATTGCTATCCGTATACAATTTATCAGAATTGGTAATGAATAGTGATGGGATTTTTTAAATTCGATCTTTGTGGAAGATAAATTTATTTTATTTACAGTTTTATTCATTGTGACTTTACATTACGTTACGGTACGATGATCAAATTATTGGCACTATTCATTAATTTTTATTATAGTTAGCAGTAATAAATATAATTACACTGAAATACTTAATTTATTATTATGTCTTTGATAAGGAAGGTGTTTTCTATGTCATCGGATTTATACCCAAATTTCATTTGAGATCAAGAGTGAAAGCCGAACCCGGTGCAGTAATGAATGTCACTTTACAAGAACTGTTTCAAAACACAATGCGTAAAACTGTATTCAATACAAAACTGTACAGTTATTTATAAGTTTATATACCTAACAATAGTTTGTATCTGTAAGGATTTGATCGTGGATCCATTGCTTTAAAACTGAGTGATGAGATAATAAATGAAGTGCAAACTTGTCTTTACTTTTCATTGTTTTATGTTGGATGTTTTGTTTTTTTGAGGGGGTGAAATTATCGAATGACTTCACGTGCCATGGGTGAGGCGAGATAGTCTTATAGAAAACCGTTATTGACTAAAAACCCTCGTTTTATTTCGAGCCGGAGCCATGGTGACCCGTTAGGTTGTCCGCAGTACTTCATGTCATGGAGTTTTTAGAAAACAGCAGTTCTTCCAAACATCTCGTTTTTACAATAGGAAAACAAAAAGCATTGCTAAACTCGCGACTAATATTTTATCATTTATTTCAGACCAAACGTCCATAAAATGGTAGTAACAATAATCTTAAACTATTGCTAATAATTTAATATAATATAATATGAATAAAATTCATTCTACTTTACAGTTGCGTGTAGTCTAATCCAACGGCCCAACATTGGACTGTCCCATTTATCTCACACACAAACATCGGATCATATTGTAAGATACATACAAACATCACATGTCGGAACAAATTTAATGTCGATCGAAGTAAAGAATGTGTGAAGTCCTCAATATTTTCTAAGTCACGAGAAAAATTTCAAGCCCAATCATATTTCCGTCCAAGATATTTCGAGTTCAGCTACTGAACGGAACTATGAAATCCAACTGTTATCTACGAGTTTCAATCTTTAAAATGGACGAGGAAATCTATAGATGTGAAATAAGTTGACGGTGATTCATTTTGAAGTTGTCTGGAGAGATTAATCGGTAGATTTCGGGCTTTAGATGGATTTTCTGAAATAAAAATGATTATCGGATATAAAATTTTATTTCAAGAAGAACATAACATAACAACACACCTTTTTATCCCCGAAGGGGTAGGCAGAGGTGCACATTACGGCACTTAGTGCCACGATACAACGTAACACCCACTTTTCACCATTTATGTTACGAGTCCCATGTAATAGGGCCTATTGCCATATACCGGGCACATTTCCAGAGTCCGTGTTACTACTGAGATTTCTAAAAGCCTAGTAATACTTTGCTCGACCCGGGAATCCGAACCAGAGTCCCCTTTCCCGGCAGTCGCACTTGCGACCACTCGGCTAACGAGGCAGTCTCAAGAGCAGTTTCAAGAAGAGTAAAATAGAAAATGTATTAAACACATATATGTCATATGAGTAAGTTTATTTAGCACGTACGCACACGTACGTAAATCTAGACTAGATGATGATACTTTATGTGAGAACTTCTAAATCGAATAATCAATAAACGTTTTGCAAACAAGAACACAGATATTCATATACGTACAGCAGTTGTTCTTAAATGTACCTCTATTTCTTTGTATATTTTTCTAAGTAACATAATAAGGTATAAGGTGCTTTGGCGAGACATACTAAATTTATTATTATGTTTTTCGGCTTACGTAATTATTTGACGAGGAACTCGACTAGTTTCAAGCTATGCTAGTAGCTCGTATTCATTTCATTTGGTATAGTGTTTGACATACACTACTTCTAAAATCGGGCAGATATCGATGTTTCGAAAAACGCAAATATCCATAAATATTGTTAACGTACAATGTTCATTTTCACCCGACACGAGGAATATCACTTACCAATCTCATGTTTAACACTCAATATTGAAATTAAAACATGTCAACATCATTAAAATACTCAAAAAGGTTTACATAGTGAAATAATGTCCTGGTTTTTTTAGGAAATGCGATAGACAAATCAGCCCGCTGACATTTCAATTTGTATAAAATAATAGATACGGAGTTGTATTGTAAGTCGCAGGGCGTCCGTGGACTGACGCTGTGCATACGAAATGAACACTTCCGAATACTCCCGAATGTTCCCGATAATCATGGGATTTGAGCACTGGATGTGGCATTTATAGGGTATTTGAAACGTGAAAGGTTCATTCTGCCAAAGATGAGTTCATTTGTACCCATGCAGAAAAATAAAAGGAAAAATGTCTATAGCAGATTGCTGCTTTCCTTGTGTAGATTTACGTAAGCAGCTGTGAAGTCAGTATTAGGGATAGATTTATTGACGATAGTTAATTTTCGATGAAGACGTCATTATACCCAAATGTGCGTAGTATACAAACATGTTTTTCGATTGACAAGGTAAGTAATAAGTATAACTATATCCTTGCTGCTGCTTTCAGCAAGAATCAGGATGTTCATAGATACAATAATGCTTTGTGATTGTGTATTTAAATTATTTTATCTATGCGACTAAATCAACTTTGAAATGAATTACAATATTGAGCGTCTGATTTTAGCTGTTCACCTCGTATTTTAATAGAGTCACCTATATCGTCTATGTCTACATTCCGCTTATGAGTCCAGGTTTCCTTAATTAAAACTTCACAACTATTTCCAAAAATTAACTAACCTATCTGTTTACAAATAAATTGATTATTGTAATCAAAATCGACACAATGTCACTTCCATGAATACTTTATCACATAATATCCAAGTTACCGAATATTCGTTTTCGCCGAACGATACGACAGGTGGAGACTGCGTATTGAATAAATTATATTTTTACGTGAAAACATTTTTAATATGGTAAATGTTCCATTTAAGAACGAAACTTTTTCTTTTCAAGGTTAAATTAAATTTTTTCATTGGAAAATGTGATCTGCGGAGGCGTTCAGCTGCAAAAAATATAGTACCTATATTCTTGCCAGATAAAAAAGATGCTTCATAGGTATGGGTAATAGGATTATAATTCCTATAATAAAACATGTTAACTGTAGCAGGTACTATTAGAAGGTAGGTGCTATTTTTGACTGTTATGATAACTCACCCAATAATCACAACATTCACTTGACTTCTGGACACGCCACGGTGCTGCCGACCACGGTGATCTGCTGCTTGATAACACTTCTTCTTCTAAGAGTTGAGTGTTAAAATTACCCTCCTGTACCCACCTGATGCATCCTGATCTCTAGCTTTGAAGAAAACACTTCCAATATCTGTATTGCGATCAGTGGATCGCAGGGTACCTACCAATTGTAGGCCCTTACAATGCTTCCTAATTACCGCAGTATACTAATCAGTGGCACAGTGCCTAGTAGAAAAATCTTTACTACTACTACTACACTAGACTAATCATTGTCAATAGGATCCGGTGCATCAGGTATTAACACCATTTTCGTTCAAAGCCATAAATGAAACATTGATTTAGCGTTTTAAGGTTACTTCAAACACACGGTACAAGTACAGATTTTCTCCAACTTTTACTTTATGTCCAACCTGAGCTTCTACAGCTTATAAACACCCTAACCACCTAGAATTAATGCCGGTTCCAAGGCTCCAATGAGGCGTTTTATAATAACGAATTAAATTCCCCCCAGCCAAAATTACCTGACCTCAAAATATGTATATGCGTCTTCAGGGCCTTTCCAAGGTTTCTCAACGTTTATATTATCATTTATTTAAACCCTAGCTTTTGCTCAGGTACCTAAAAGATGAAATTTTATAAGATTGGCTACGTAAATGCCCTGGAATGCTAAGGTAACGGCTCAGTACTTTTTTAAGTCAGCTTTCTTTGAGCTCCTATAATAGTATTGAACCTGTTTTGATTCTTGTGTTGCAGAATTGATTTTAGTTTCGGTTTGTTCAGATTATGAAGTTGTTTGAAATTTATAGCAAGTTTAGGTCATACCAACTACTCTTAGAAAGACTTTTATAATAATTTGAAACCCAGTGTTAACCCGAAAATATTTTGATCAAGCAGGAGTATTTTTGTCAAATAATTTAACAAAGTTTAAATAAAAAAAATATCTATGAGCAGAGTTTACTATGAACCGAAATATCTACGAACATTTTGTTTTACCAAAAAAGTTTTCGGCGATAAATGCTGTCTCAGAATAGATATTTCTATTAGCCATACTTTCTGCATCTGGTAAATCTTGTGTTTAGGTTACGTTCCATACTCCTTGACTTATGTATGTATTGTATGAATTTTCGTTGTCATTTTCTTTTCTCTAATTAACAAATTCTATTCCATTTTTAAGCCATTGTTAAGCCGACGAATTGCCATTGCTATGTATGCCATTATTATCACATGCATCAGACCAGTATTTTGTTACTTATATGTATATTTTAAATATCATGTGTCTGCAGGCAGTACTCCTTCGAATAAATAAATAAACAGACTTCAAAGCTACCTAAGTAATACCTAATTAATAATTAAGTAGTTTTGACTTGGTTCGCCAGGAGCTTAGCTTTTTTCCCGTCCAACAGTGCTAACTAACACTAAACACTGACTAAGTATGTTTAAGTAGTTGGCTAAGTACGACTGATGGGTAAACTGACATTGCTTTATTAGTATTTAGAAGATTAATTTTTAGCACGGTAACCTATGGCAGAACGTTGTGATGAATCTCATTTTTAACTAACCAGGAGGTAATAAAGTGCTCAAAAACGATTTTTAATCATCAGTTAATTCTTAACTGTAGAAAATTGACAGTTGACAGGTTTTAGTATGGAAGCATTGTCAAATATTAAAGGTTATACTTCAGTTAAAATATATCTGGCGTTGGAAAAATGGGCCCTAAGAGTCGTTTGCATCTGTAGTGGTAAGTTTTTTGTATTCTCCCTGATACCATTTCTTTTACAGATTGACTGTGAATGCAACGAGACAGTGAAACGAGTAGTCTAGCTACTACGGAGAAATCTACAAAACGATATGAAAGCTTAAAGACTTGCTTTGGAAGGTTCTAGACCTGTCCTTCAAGTTGCATAATGAGGAAATTAACCAAAGTTCCGTTCTTAATTCCCAGACGTTACACTCTTAATAGGTTCCAATGACCACGATTTATGCGGTAAGCTAATAAAAACCGTGAGATTTCCCTGGACAGTTCGCTTCGTTAGCGAGCCTGTGTTGCAAGCGGCTTTCGTTTACGACCCATTGTCACCATAAATACACTGAGTTTTCTCTTAAGGAGGTCGTGTTGAGGATACCAAGATCGCAGTAGTAGGACGTGTTTCAAAATCAGGTCGATAGTTTTTGAAGTTTGGGGA